GGGGGGGGGGGAGATACATGATGATGTTTCATGCAGAACGAAGCTAACTTAGAAGCAAGCTGAAATCCGATCAAAAGGGGAAGAACTACATATTACTACATTAACAATATAAATAAATCAAATATATTTTCTTTGTCCAAAAAGGTTTACCTACAATCCGAATCGCTCGCCAACAAAGTTCTCCGGGTCCAAGCAAAGTTCTTCTCTGAATATACAATAGGTACACTGATTAAGAGAGAGTCCATCATACGAAAAAAGCATGAAAGCACTTCAAGGAAAGGTACTAAATACACAGTGAATAAGTACAAATTAACCTTTAAGTCTGCCTTTTTTCAGCCTCGCTCAACTTTCGCGACGAACTGTTGTAAGTTGCAGAGAATGCTGGGAGCGTTCACTCATCTCGCGCGTTATCCGCGCGAGTTGTTGTCGTGACAATATTCGCGCGTAATCCATATTTGATACCCTATTTGCGACCAAAACGGCTGAAAATATATCCTTTGCGGCCGCATATACCTATCTCGCCCATATAAAGCCTGGTTCTCACATCCTGCCGACCTACCTGCAAGTATCGGTTTGGAAGGGCATGCCGTTCAACCCCCGCAGAGGGACTCCGATTTTTTTCATATTCGTGTTGGACTCTAGTAACTCTAGTACTCTAGTGACACGATTCGATCCATACTTACAGGTGGACTGGTTGAAAATTGCGCCCATTCGATTTCCACTTCGCGCAAATTTGAGTACGTCGGCGATCCATCGCAGACGCGCCGGGACCCACTGGAACAAATCACCGAAAATTCTCACTTACAACCGGCGGCTACGTCGCAGGTAGGTCGGCGGATTATGAGAACCACCTTGCCCTTCCAAACCGAAGCTCGGAAATGTGACCACTGCGCTACAGGGAGGACTCCTTGAATTGGGTAGCAAATTTAACGCTAACTATATGCACATCAAATGTAGTTTTTATTGACAGGCTAATCTTGCATTGGGAAATGTGCTATAGAAAAAAAATAACAGACAATGGACCAGTTATCAAGTTTTTTTTAAGTGCATTATTTAATCTTTTCGAAAAAGAAAAAAACTAACTTTCAA